ACTGTTTAACCTAGATGGAGAATATTTTCTAGGTCAAAGATCTACAATAGTTTACTTTAGTTTCCTTTTGACACTTCTTGGGCATTCATGGGAAGAATTAAATTTGACATGGTAAATTCCCATAAGTAATTAAGCTCTTATAGGAACCATATACAATTCGACCACAATATAGAGCCACAATTAATGCCTATGCCAGGGAAACAAACTGATGGTCGTAGAGGAAAGATTTCCTTAGCATGGTGTTGGTGCTGAAAAATGGTATCATCATCAACTAATTAAATATGTTTTTCTTAGTAATGGATTTCATTTGTTTTGGTCTATGTAGTTCATCAATTGTTGAAGCTAACTTTATTACAATTAGTATTTTCCCATGAAAAGGATTCTTTTGTTAAACAAACATATATGAGGATGCATTTGAGTGCATGGATCTGTGAAGTTGTAGCCCGAAATCAAGAGTGCCACAAACGTATCTAAGGATGTATTTGAGTGCATGTGGTTGAGGATCTCTAGGATGATGCATATATAAGCAAATATGTTGAAATGCATATGAAAAATCTTGACGAGTGAATGTAAGGTATTGAAGGCCATCGGTTAAATGAGATAAAGAGTTGGATACGATAATAGAGGGGTTGATTCGTCCAACTTACACTGTGTGCCTATCGGTGTACGACAAGGGTTGTAATTTTACATGTTTACACGTTCGAGAAGTTCCAATGCATATTGTCGTTGAGATAGAAAGAGACCCTTGTCGTTGGAATACCCAGAAAATATGAAAGATCTCATAGGTCACTCATGGCAAACTCAGTGGCCAGAAGCCTAGAAGTGAGATAATGCGTTATAGAAGATATGTGGGGGGGAAACCGTCTGATTTATATTATTAACTTTAACATTTGTCCGAAGTTATCTTTTCGTTCTCTTATTTCTTTTTTATTTTAACTTGGTTGGCAAGATCAATGTCTTTCTTGTTGGGCGAGCGCATTCGATTCTAAAGTCTTTTCCTAAACCACTTCTCGTTCAATCGCTAAAAGATAGACAAAAGGTTTTCTAAATGAGATTGAGTTTCATGCATATGTAAGCTAGAAAGATGATATTTGTTGTTGTTATATCTATTTGTGCATCAAATTCGAAGAAGATCTCAATCTATAATGAATCATAGTACAATGTTATAATAAGAACAAATGAAAGTGGAACATTATAAAATAACGTAAAATTTATTTATTTTTTAAATCGGTCAACTCGACCACGAAAAGAATATAACGCCAACTTATAAATTATACACATACGAGTTTAAGGGGGTGTTTGGGATTGCTTTTCAAGGTGAAAAGTTTTTTTTGTAAAAGAACTTTTTGATTTTAACTTTTAACGGAGTAAAAGTCAAAAGTCAGTTTTAAAAAGTATTTGCAAATATTTTTTGACTTTTGAAGGTAATTTACCTTGTAAGAAGGCAAAAGTCACAAAAAGTCATGTTTTCTTGTCTTTTGGAAAACCACCAATTCCTTCTTACCAAAAAGTTATTTCCAAAAGTTCTTTTGCAAATGCCAAACATCTTTTAGAATTTTTAACTTTTTGAAAAAGCCAAAAGTCAAAAATTCATTTTTTTAAGCAATCACAAAAACCCCTTAAATCCACCGGTTGGTTATCGTGTAATGACACATGGATGGTGGATAGATGCATAGTAATAGGTAAACGGTCAATATGTCATCTATACACACACAAGGGATGCTCTTGGGTGGAAGATTGATAGCAAATATTTTTAAAAGAAAGGCATGTGGTTGCAGCAATGTTTTAAAAACTGGTTTTTTAGTTGAACTGGTACGATGACCGGTTCCCAGTTCAACCGGTTCGACCGCCGGATCAACAGGTTTCTATAATTTTCATTTTTTTTAATTTTCTTTTATATATATATATATATATATATATATATATATAATGATTTTGATGTTTACAAGTTCAAACATACTCCCTAATAAATCAAAAAAAATTTATCACATGTCATCTTCTCCTTCATTTGGACAAATGTCATTTTCTAAAACTTTTGAATTTTTTATTTTCCACTTGTCATTTTATTGTATTTTTTATTTTATTAAATTAAATATCCACATTTAATATGTAAGGTAATATATATGCAAGGTATTTATTAGAAAGTGTTTATATATGTAAAGTATTCAATTTATTAAAGCCTCATTAATTTTAATAATTTAAATTTTTTCTTATTTTTCTTATAAATTCAAACTTCTCAAATCGTTAAAATTTCATATATATATTTTTTTTTAAAATTCATGTAATACATGGGTCTCACACCTAGTTAAAAATATACATAAGTAAATTGTAGATCAATCCAAATTAATTATATTTAACATATAATCATAAGTTTTAGTGTTTTACATCAATTCATATATGTCAAAAAGAAAATAAAGTATAATACCGAAACAAAATATAGTTTTAGATGAATATAAATACATCAAAAAACTTTATAACATTTACCATATATTTTTATTTAAAGAAAACTAAATAGATTTGAAAAAAATTACGAAAGATTATTATGCAAATAGTTAATTTTCATGTGTTTTTATTCGCTTTAATCGATTCAACCGGTTTATTTTGACCGGTTCAAGCGGGTTTTTCTAAAAACAGGCCGGTTCAAAAATAAACGTAAAGCCGGTGATAGTTGAACCGTTGTCTCCCCGGTTTCCGGTCCAACCGGTTCGACCGGCCGGTTCAAACCGGTTTTTAAAACATTGGTTGCGGGCTGCAACTTAAATATGAAATCTTGAAGTGGTTGGGCAAAAAAGACGTGCGTAAGGATTGACGAGTCTACCTGGAAATTTTCGGAGATAATTTCTCACAATAACTATTAACAGTTACCTCATTAGAATTGTATTATAAAACCGCGAGGGTGAAAACGGGAGAGGGCTTTCAATTTGTTTCATCAATTAAGGTACAATTTATGCTTTTGGGTTTTAATCAGTATGTATCTTTTGTGATGCTAGTGTTCCTGTTGCGTATTGCAGTTGATCCCGTAGAATTCGACCGATAAACCAATTAACTGATGAGTTAAATATTTCGAATTCTGGGTTATGAAAAACTGGCGATAAGATGAAATTTCATATTGTTTTTGTGAAAATTTACTGCAACTGTTTGTTTACAGAGATGAAGATAAGCATTAATGGAAGTATTGATTTACTTAGTAAAATTAATTGGTAAATCAGAAAAGAGAAATGTCAGTTTATGATAGATGCGTTCCGGGTTAAGAAGAAAACAAAACCCGGTTTAGATTGTTGAAGCGGATCTTGGGCCAACTAATATATAGTGGGCTAAATAAATAAAGCTACTTGATTAAATCGGAACATATTAGGCTGAGCTCATTCTAATCTAAAGACATACTGCTTTCTATGGAGTATGGATGATGAACTCATTTCGTAGATTAATATATTAATAAGTTATTTAACACCTATTTAAACGAGCTTATGTAAATATTTTTAAATTTAAGTAGTATTTGATTACAATTAAAAAAAATTGGGTTCTATTAAATACGCTAATTTTGATGTAGATGTTAAGATTAATAACTTGAAATTTATATAAAGATTGATATGGTAACCTTGATGGATTCAAGAGTTTATAAATGATTAAGTCGAGTAAATATCATTTATTCGAACAAAATACTATAAAGTAAATGAAAAAATGTAATACAGTTGGTTTAACAGGTTATGTAGGTTATGCGACTAAATCATGGAGCATTTTAAGCAATATAAATATTAGATTATCGTCTTAGAATTTTATTGGGACTTGTAGGGTTCTAATAAGTGGGAAGAGCTCGTAGTAGGATTGAGATCTGTGAGGTGAGTTTGTAGGATTGAGATCTGTGAGGTGAGTTTGATGCGAATTTTATGGTTACTTGCATGAACCAGATATTTTAGGTCCCTAATATGTGTCACCGGGTTGTGGAAAGAAAAGAAATGCATGGTAAAATTGTTGGATGTATATATTTTGTTGCATGTGTTTTAAAAACTATTGTTGTCAATATGTATGAAAACGATGATCTCATTAAGCCACGAGGCACTCGTTTATTTGCAACCCAGGAAGCTATCTGGCTAGTAGTAGCAGCAAAGAAAATGAAAAGACTTGTACAAGTTTTATGGTTTATATTGTAAGATCGTAGGAGTTCATCGTGATATTGAGGTAATTTATGTTATGGAAAATGTTAGGACATTACATAAAGGCAATCACAATCTATTTAGAAATCATACACATGATAGAGACGATTGTGAATGCAGAATAGATTGTGATACAATATTTAAGGTTCAACAATTGAAGGTAATTACAGACTTTCATGGACCCCATCAATATTGACGGCTAGATAGTTGCATTTTATTTTTTTTATCTAACATAAAATGTGTTTGTAGTTTTTTTTATTGATATGGCATTTATCCTTTGATGTATAATAGACGATATAAGACTTAAAGTTGGGGGAGATGATATACACAAATAGAAAATACAGGAAACCCAAGAAGATTAGATGATTTAAGGAAAAGTGACGAACTTTGAAAAAAAATGGTTTTGTTTGGACCTAACAAAAAAGTCTGTAATTACCTTCAATTGTTGAACCTTATTTGAAAAATCAAAGCCTCGTCTACCACGTACCACCGTACTACAGGTGTGTCGTCATCCTTATTTTTATTATATTTTTAGTATTAGTATATTTATTTGTTCATTTAGGAGAATAAATAACAAATGCTAAGCCTGTCCTTCCCATACTTGATTTCTTTTTCGAATGTGATCTTGAAAAAAAAAATATGTTATATTAAAATATTCAAGTACTTAAAGGAAACTATTTTCTAATTCGTGTCTATTGTATTTCAAATAAGGAACCAATCTAACAGATATTTACAATTTTATAAAAGTTGTCCGGTTCATAATTGTTTGTAAACTGATAGTTGTGGAATGCTTATTTATTTATTTATTTGATATTTTATATGATCTAAGGAGTATTTTTAACACTAATGATTTTGTTAAAGGCCTTTTCGGGACGAGAAAGAATTAAGTTAGGAAGGTTTGATCGGTCGGTTTCATATCGCTTTACTGCTTTAGTTATAATTTATTTATTACCAAATTGTATGATTTTGTCATTTTACTCAAAAATAAATTACTTTTGATGTTTGTTTGAATTAAATGTATACGATGCGAAAAAATGACAAAAGAGACAAATAAAGTAGGGTGTCATTTTACTAAAAAACAATACAATTTAAACCAATAAAAATAAAGTAGGGTGTCATTTTACTAAAAAACAATACAATTTAAACAAATAAAAATACTTCAAAATTAAATTAAAGTGTGTATATGGTAAAATGTGGTGTCTTTTTAGCCAACCTCATAAAGTACTAACCCCTAAATCACCAAATTGACTTTAAAACCTGAAGCAAAATAAAAGCAACGAAAAAGCCTAACAAGACACCCTTACATTTATTTCTAGGGTTATTGTCATTATAGCCCAACGATGTTTAGCATATTGGTTTAAAAGGTCCCTCTCGAATTTTTTTTTGCCTTTTAGGGGTACGTACTTGTATTTTACCTGCTGATAAATGGATGGACAATATTTTTTAAGACGGTTTACCGGTTACAAAAAGCTTATTTGGCTTTTTTTTTTTAAATATAAAATTTAAAAGAATAATGCATTTGGGTTTTTTTCTTCTAAGCCGGTCAACCCCTGCTTCTTTATCCCACTCTTCGTTTTTATGCTAAAATCACACAAAGCTACCCCCTTTTCTTTTTGATACGATCACAGCCTCCTTCTCATCACTAGCATCGACACTCCCGAGAGCTCCGATTGGAGTGCTTTTCAGGTACCCAAATCTGAATGAATTTCTGATTTCGATCTACTTTATCATATTTGTCATCATCACTGTATTATGTTGCAGTCGTTTTACATTGGAGGAAGAGCAAACCCATCTTCAGTTCTTGTCGAATTCGATGCTTACCTTCAATCGAGTTGCGGGTTTGATGGAGCGAGGTGAAGACGGGGGTGTGGGTTTGATGGGGTTCATTGCTAGTGCAAAGTGATTGGTCAGATTTTTGGAGCGAGAAAAGCCGTCAATTTCTTGATTTGGGAGCGAAACTGAGAGGTGGGTTTTTGAAGATTGAAAAAGATAAGCACGAAAGCGAAATCCATGGCGGTTTTGTGGGCAATTTTTGTGAATCGTTGCCCGAGGGGTTCATCGTGAATGCGTTGGTACTCACAAGCCCTAGGGATGTATGTAGATTATTGTTGGTGTGTTATGTTTTCCGATTTGCGGTAGAATGGGACGCCGTGTGGGAGAAGTTCTTGCCTTCGGATTACCAAAAGATTTTGATGGCGGCGGTTCAGCCAAGTGTGGTTCGAAGAAGGAGATGCATCTTCGTCTCTGCAATCATCCGGTCATCATCGATGGTGGCAACAAGGTTGAATCTTTACCTTTTCTTTATAATTTTACTTATTTTATAGTAAATCGTTACTTGGGAATTCGTAATGATCCACCGAATTTGATTATTTTATGTCATACAAAATTGATATTTTTGGTTTTAATCCTTTCTTAATGAACTGTTTGATTCCATTATCCCTTTCTGTTTGAAACAGTTGGATGCTTACTAAATACCACGTGACATATCAAAATCGATTGTTAGGAAGGTTTCACCGAGTGACCCTTCATATTTTTTATAATGACCTTTTAAAATGGTAAAATACAAGTACGTATAATGACCTTTTAAAATGGTAAAATACAAGTACGTACCCCTAAAAGGCAAAAAAAAATCGCGAGGGACCTTTTAAACCAATATACTAAACATCGTTGGGCTATAATGACAATAACCCTTATTTCTGACCATTACCATACAAATGTGAAATGTTATCGTCCACATAGAAGTTTGCGCTCAACATAATTTCAATAACAATGTCGGTACATTAATTTTTAATGCCCATAAACGAAATGAATAACAATGCTCATATATCATACTGTGTATCAAACACATACTATAATTTTAGAAAATATATTGAATAAAATATTACTCGAGCTAAGAAAGATACAACCTGATATAAGTTCTCAATTCAGGTTGCAAATTATGAGAGCAGATAAGTTTTGAATTTTTAAAAGAAAATGATCTGAAAAATAAAAAATAAAAGCCATACAAATATATACAGTTATAAGTTTTCACATCTAAGGAGATTTTTATATTTATAACAAATCAAACAATTCATAACAGATCTAGAATGTGGCACCAATTAAGACATATTCACAATAAATATTTATAATGGTGGTTTCTGATGTTGAAAAGGATTAAAACAATCATAATTTTATGTTCAAAACCAATGTTATTATGAACTCCTCTAGCAAGCAACTATTATGAAGAACAATGCTACACTAGCACCAACTCAAAAATCAAAACCAATCTAATTGTTCAGAAGAACCAAATATATCAAAACCAATCTAAATGTTATAATAAGATGTAACAATTACAATTAAATATCAAAGACCAAAAAAGAATAAAATATTCAAAATCAATATGGCAATTTGATTAATCATCGCTCCTTCTATCTGTCTCATCTCGTATCTTTAATTTCTGATCCATTTAGAGTAAACACTTTGGGGCTAATAATACCAAACTATCGGTATGAGGGCTATAAAATATTCCCCCTCTATGACTGATCTGTGGTCATGGGCCGGCCCTATACATTGATTATAATCTAGAGGTGCACAAGTACCAGTTTTAAAACGGTTATTTCTATTGAAAATCGGTTTTGGTTATAAGTGGTTTGGTTTTTTTGAAAGTGGAATTGTGTTAAAAAAATCAATTTTTTTGGTTAAAAAATCGGTTCGGTTTCGTTCTTTTAGAAAAGTCGGGAAAAAAACCGGTTAAAAAAACAAACATACCAATAACCAACGGTTCGGTTTTAACCAAATCGGTTTTAAATAAATGATTCAGTTTTTTCAAAATAAGAAGAAATTAAAAAGAAAAAAAAACCCAAACTATACAACAATACTAAAACCTACACTAACAACTTAATAGCGAAGCTCAATTGTTTTATATAGTTTATTGGTTTTAACAGTCTCTAGATTTTTTTTAACCCTCGGAGACTTCAGAAAAATACAATGTTGTTTATTTTCAAATTATTTTGAAAATTAGAATTTTCTTTCTAGAGAGATTTCTTCACAAATTTATTTATTTATAATTTAACCAATAATATAAAGGTAAATAGGAAACTAGAAACAAAGATTACTGCATAAACTTTATGCAGGAAATTTTATTGAAGAAATATAAATCAAAAACTTCAATCGATGAATATTTACCAGGAAAGTATTTTTATTCAAAGAACAAAGACTAAATCTTAGAATATTCAAACATATTTATTAAAACTTACTTGAAAAAAAAGGTTTAAGAACTTCC